CGATCTCCCTCGTTCTTGCCCGACTCTCCAGCGATTCCCCCCACTCGACGGTCCCCTCCCCCTCCGTCCCCATACTCAGCCCTTCAACATGGTGCGTTTCCTCCCTCTTCCTTCCCGTTTGCAACGGCTACCACCATCACCACCGCCACCATTACTTCATCACCATCACCATCACCACTGTCACCGCCGCTAACCTGACATACGCGTGCCGACGCGCAGGTGGTGCTCTCTGCTGCCATCCTGACCAAGTCCGCAGGGAAGGGTACGCACTCCTTTCCTCCTGCTGCTCTGCTCACTTCTGTCCCTTCGCGTCACTCTCGATCCTTACTCTGTCTCGCCCCCCCCTTCTCCCTTCCCCCCTTCCCCCCCTCCCCCCCTCGCTCCTCCCTTGTTCAGTTCTCCTTGCCCGGCAGTTTGTGGAAATGCCGCGCGCCCGCATCGAGGGCCTGCTGGCCGCCCTGCCGAAGCTCTTGGCCTCCAACACCTCCCTCGTTGAGGGGTCTTCCAGCGTTACGCGCCAGCACACTTTCGTCGAGACAGATCATGTTCGCTATGTGTACCGTCCGTATGAGAGCCTGCTCATTGTCCTCGTCACCACCAAGACATCCAACATTTTGGATGACCTGGAGACGCTGAGCCTGCTGACCCGGGTGGTATGTGCTCACGCAACATTCGCCATCACACATGCCTGCTAATGTGGGCCTTTCTCACCCGTGTTCCCCCTTGCCCTCGACCTGTGCCCTTCCCTCCAGATCCCCGAGTACTGCCGTCCCGAGGTGGAGGATGTGCAGGCTGCGGTGTTCGAGCTGGCCTTTGCCCTGGATGAGGTGATTTCCTCCACCACAGCCCCCGGCGCCGGTGGCGGTGGTCATGGTGAGCGTGTCTCCCCGGCCTACGTCAGTGCCTGTACCACGGCCAAGTCCCACGAGGAGGAAGTCTTCCTGATGCTTGAGCGTAACAAGGAGCACGACGCCAAAGAGGAGGCCAAGCGCCGGGCGCGTATGCTCGAGCAGCAGCGCCGCGACGCCCGCGATCAGCGCCAGGGTGGTGGCTATGGCAGCGGCTACGGCGGTGGCCAGGGCGGCGGCTACGGCGGTGGCCAGGGCGGTGGTTATGGTGGCGGCCAGGGTGGCGGTTATGGCGGTGGCCAGGGCGGCGGCTATGGCTCGCCCCCATCCGCCGGCTATGGTGGCCAGCCGGCTGCGCCGCAGCACTATCAGCAGCAGCAGCAGCAGCAGCAGCAGCCGCAGCAGGCGCGTGTCACCTCGCCGGCGATGGCCGCCCAGGGCGCTGCTCCAGGCCGGAGCATGAAGCTCGGCGGCGCCGGGCCCGGTGCCGGCTCCAGCCCCTTCGCCGGTATCGCCTCCGGCGGCCCGAAGTCCAGCGCCTCCTCTCTGCTGGAGGCTGCCGCGGCCGAGGTGGCCACGCATCGGCCAACTGCCGGTGGTCCTGGCGGTCGCCCGGCTGACCAGCCACCTCGTCAGGATGTTGGTCCCGTCACCTCGATCCTCAACCAGTTCCAGGCCCGCCTGGCGGAGTATCAGTCCCAGCGGAAGGCGTGCGTTTCCCATGGCGCTGGTTCAGCTTTCATCTCGCCTTCTCTCTTGGGTTGCCGGTTGGTCCTGTTGCCTTTTTTTTCTCGTGCTTTTGCCTTGCCCTTATTGATCCCTCCCCCAGCCTGAATGTCATCATGGAGGAGTTTGTCACGGTGGACATCGACCGCGACGGGGCCATCCTCGATGCCATGAAGATCCACGGCCAGGTGTCTGTCGCTGTGCAGGACAACTCCTTTGGCGGGATTCGCCTGGCCCTTTCCGGCGCGGATGTTCCCCCCTCCCAGGGCCGCACGATGGTAGGTCTTTTGGGGCCCCTCTTCCGCTCCTGCCTCCTTCCCTTGCCGCATTTCTCTCTTTCCACCTCGCTGTCCATTTCCTCCGCCCGAGAGTCGAACCCCGTCCGCTGACCCCGTTGTCCATGCTCTCCCCTCCCCCCCCCCTCCCCCGCTCCCCGCCCAACAAACACACCAACACACAAACGCACAAACACACAGTCTCATCCTCAGGCTGACAAGAGCGCCTTCAACAGCGGCCGGGTGATTTGCTTCACCGGCGGCGAGTCGCCTATTCGCCCGGAGCGGCCGACCACCCTGGCCCGGTGGACTCGCAATGTGGCCGCCTCTCGTATGGACGTCCTGCCCTTCACGCTGACCTGCTGGACGGAGACCGGGTCTTCGGCCAGCCACATTTCCGAGCCTGGTTGCGTGTCGATCGTCTTCCAGATTGAGGCGGTGGCCGATTGGTTCCGTGCCAATCCCAGCGTCCCGACGACGGTCTTTTTCCACATCCCCGCGCCGGCCAACCCCCACGTCCTGGAGGTCGACGGGAGCACCGAGTACTACGACTCGTCCAAGTCCCTTGTTTGGTCGCCGGATCTGGAATCCGGCTCGGCGAGCCTGGTGCGTGGCGACATGCCACTTTGTCTGGCCATCGACTTGG